ATGTTCTGCCTAGAGATTCATTGTTGAGTTCCGCTAGTAACCACACAGTGGCCAGTATTATACGCAGATTAACATTTTATTAACGATAAAGTCCTTCCGGAAAGGATAATGTTTATCGCATGAATTTTTAAGTCTGGTTCCCCAGGAAGATCGACGAGACACTCCATACTTCATTGTTTCGTAAAGATACATACTCCGGGGTCATCTTACATTTTGGGAGTAACCATCCAATGTCCCATAGACGCAGCTCTATCAAGAGCTTGCTCAGTCTAGCAAAAACACACTGTTCGAATAAAGAAGCATACCAAACAGAAAGATAATACCTTTTGAAACTATTTTCCCAAAATGTGTATCCTCCGGACTTTGTTCGTCGATGCATACGCCAAAAAGAGTTCAAAGGAAAGGGTATCTTTAGAGCTGCGACGATTAAAGTGTCAAAACCAAAGAATTGGCCAACGCTCCCATATTTAAAGAGTGTACCTAAGCTGGTCGAAAGACACCTACGAATGCACCAGAAACAGATTGCGCACAAATCGGCGACTTCTTTGCGCGCCCAGTCTATACACCCTAAACACAGGGTTGGACATTTCAACACAAAGGAAGTCGTCTATAAAATACTGTGTATCAGTTGTGATGCAGTCCATTTTGTTGGAACTGAAAGAGCTCTATCCCCCCGCATACACGGATACCACTTAGCGGTGAGGAGGCGCGACCACCCATCGGAGGTTGTCATGCATACACTGGACACAGAACACGCATTCGTACGGGAGAAAAGCGAAATCGTTGACGCCTGTCCAACTAGGAAAGGCTGCAAATTCCTTGAGGCAATGCACTCAGACGAGGCATTCATCAACAGGCATATCGATTTGGATGCCAACTACAAATCTCAAGTTCAGAGGGAAGCAAAAGCAGCCACCACTACCGATCGCATGAGTAGATGTGGATGGTAACTATTCCCCCTGACCGCATGCGGTTGACAGCTATTTTCCCTACTGACCGCATGGTTAAATATGGGTGAAGGTTATCTTCCTACACTCTAACCCACCGCAGAGTCTTGCGTTAGTCATCGTTTTGAATTAACTGTTTTCGGAAAATTTTCTCTTGTCTAACGACGAGCTGTGGGAACCAGACTCGAAACGTCACGTAATAAACATTATTCTCTCCCAAAGGACTTTATTTTTGACAAAATATATCGCTTGAGATGCTGATACGAACAAATTAACATTGCCGACAAAGACCAGGGAGAATAGAATGGCCACTTCCGGCTCATTGGCTGTCATCAGCCAACCACACCTAACCCCAGGTTGGGTATCACCTGAGGCTCGAACCCGCGATCTGTTGATAAAGCGTCCAAAGTTCTAACCACTGAGCCAAGTGTCCATTATCTTGCTCGTTTAGATCGGAAATGTTGTGGGGCACCAACTGGAAGTGAGTTTGACTGGTTGATGATGGCTAATGAGCAAGAAACGGCCATTCTATTATCCCTTGCCTTTCTTGGAAATGTTAATCTGTCCAGTCCGCCTGCCCTTTGTCAGCAATCTCCATATGGTTAATTGGTGCTTTGTGCGTGTCTTTATTCCCTTAGAGCTTAAAAAATGATGAACCCAGCCCCCCGTTGTCCGATCTGCAAAAACTGTGTGGAGTTTGATTTGCATCTTGCAACCTGCCAGATTAGAAGCTGATACTGTAAATGTCTCTGTGCATTTTAGCAACTTACTTTGACCTTCTCATCATTTTCATCGAGATACAGGTCCAGTTAAGTGTTTTCAACCATTTACTTGTCCAACACAGAATGTACCTTTAACAGCAGGGGTTTCTGCAAGAAAACGACCAATAAAACAACCACCGGGCAAATCCTTTGCATAGGCCTGCGCCTTGTAATCAACTGGAG